CTTAGTTTATAAAGCATCATTCTATCTTGTAGGTGGCAAGTGTTGCACTTGCTGTTGGATGTGAAGGAAATAAAAAAAATTACATTAAAACTTACGATAATATATTAACAGTGTGAGCGGACTTAATCAACTTTATTTGTATTTCTGAAAAAATGCATTGTCAAAAACAAAAACAAAAAAACAACATGTAAATTATGATAAAAAAAATTATCATGCAATGAGCTATCATTCAGTCTGCTCCCCAAACATTGACCCTTGTGGACTTTTTATCAGTTCTGTCTTTTCTATAAATAGTTAGATATTTACTGTATAAGTAAATGTTTATACAGTTTGTAATTTAATCGAATAATAACACTCAATGGCTCATAAAGTAAATAATATATTGAGTATGAACAATTCATTAGAGATTTTCGTCATGAAGCAACCGATTATGACGGTAGTATGCACGGTATTGTAATGAACACTCTTGTTTACAAAGTATCAATATATTAATAATATACCTGTAGAGGTCTTTTTAGTTCTGATTGAACACATAATTATGAAAAATACGGAATTATAATGGTTGATTTTTTAAATAATAATAATAACAATAATAATAATTATTATTATTCTTATATATAATAATAATAATAATATAATAATATATATATATAATATATATAATAATATATATAATATATAATATATATAACATATATATAATATATATAATATATAGATATATATATACATATATATACAATATATATATCACATGTAGATATAGATATGATATATATATGTTATATTATTATAACACGTGTGTTTGTAGGGCACGTACGTAATCATGGCCAGGTTCTGATTGGTAAGTTGTAAGTTCGACACTCTGAAAATGATCCATTCTGCTTTATATTCACACATGGGAAAGACTGAACTCATGAATATTAATATTTTTTGGATCAAACTGACTACCAAGCAAGTAAAAACAAGTTTATCTGAACTAAATGTAAAATATTATAGTATTATATTTATGTATTTTTTTTATAAATATTATTTGTGAGTATTACGTCGGACCTGCCAAATAGTTACTTCAAAGAATATTATTATTATTATTATTATTATTATTATTATTATTATTATTATTATTATTATTATTATTATTATTATTCTAATATCATTATCATCACATAAACCATGTAATCGATTCTACTTCATTAAAGCAAGCACACTGGTTCATATATGACTCACAACAGATCGTATCAATTTGTTAGAACTTGAAACAAATTGATGCAATAATGCATTAACATATCGATGGCTAATAACAAAACTATACATAAGTTGCCCCGAACATGATTCGAACCCGGGAGCTTTTCCTGTCTATTCAGACTTAACTTGAGGCTTTGTTGACAATTTCAAATCCAAATAAAGCAACTAATTGGACAGTGCGTAGCACTAGGCTTTAATGCATGTCAAATAACAGAGATCAATGATAGTGACGCCCGCTTCTTATAATCGTTTATATATAGGCTAACATATAAACAATATATATATATATATATATATATATATATATATATATCCTTTATATATATATAGGCCTATATACATATGATGTACATAATGTTACACGTCAAAAAACAAAATCAAAATCGTTTTTTGTCATTGTCGTTACAATTCATGAATTTTAAACGGTAAAGACGAGGAATCTGTGATTGTGAAAAATCTCCCTAACCCGAATTCAAACCCCGGGATGTTCTGCTGTCAGGCTGGGCCACTCGAGTTTTTGTTGGGAAGTCGAATGGCTTGTTGAATGGTAATAAGTAAGTATACCATATGTTGATTAAATGTAATATTATATGCGAGATGGATGCTATATGACACATAAGAGCTCTCTGTTTTATTTGGTTTCTGTACATCACTGATTTACTTTCTCTTCTCTGTGTACATATTTATTATCTGCGATATTTTGACAGATGGTCTAATTTTGATTGACTGAATAATTAACATTAAAATGATCACAATTTATATTAAAAATATGGTACGATTAATTACAATATTATTAGTGAACTTCTACGACCTTGGTAGGATTGAACGAACGTTGCAGAGTGAGCACACCATTGGCAGGTGGTGCTCTCAAAATACACTGTGTTAAAGCATAAAGAAATTACTAACTTTGGTAGCTTTGCCTTTAAAACTATAGCAACATATATAATTTTAAAAATACGGTAGTTATTTATAAGTAAAATTAAGCGACTTTCAGGGTTTTCCACTAAAATCGCTCACTTTTCGGTAACATTAGATCTCGCACTACATTTTGATCAATTGACCATGTTGCTAAGCCCCGCCCTTTATGGTTGCTAAGGTCCAACAAAATCGTAAATATACGTAAACACATCATGCGTTTGTGAGACAACACGTGTGTTTGTAGGCACGTACGTAATCATGGCCAGGTTTTGATTGGCAAGTTTTAAGTTTGACACTCTGATTGGTAAGTTGTAAGTTGACACTCCAATTGGTAAGTTGTAAGTTCGACACTCTGATTGGTAAGTTGTAAGTTGACACTCTGAAAATGGTCCATTCTGCTTTATATCACACATGGAAAAGACTGAACTCATGAATATTAATATTTTTCGGAAACTGACTACCAAGCAAGTAAAAACACGTTTACCTCATCTAAATGTAAAATACTATAGTATTATATTTATGTATTTCTTTTTATATTATTTGTGAGTATTTCGTCGGACCTGTCAAATAGTTACTTCAAAAATATTATTATTATTATATTATTATTATTATTATTATTATTATTATTATTATTATTACTGTATTATTATTCAATTTGGCACATAGGTCAGGGGTATACAAAATAGCAATTTGTTTTGTGATTGGCAATCTTTTCATAACGCCATTATGAGTCATAGGGGGTAAAATTATGAGAAAAAAAATTATTGAACCCAAAATCCTGGTACTGGCATCTTAACCACCATTGTTTTTTGTGTGGGCCTATTTCATAAAACTTCGAAACTCGCTTTTAGTATTTACCGTACCTTATTTGTTTTTACTTTCAGGTAGAGAAAATGAATTTATTTCAAATGTGGCTGGTAATGATCGTGTTTACGTATTATCCAGGTAGGCACGACATAAACACCGGGAGCATCGTCCACGCATATTACATCATTTTCCTTAAATAATTTGAAATGTCTCGTCTCTCCATTTGGTGAAAGCAGATATAACCATTTAAGCACAAATAGTTTCATAAATATTGTTACACTACAGGTATTACATTTAAAATAACAATTATCCAACACTTAGTGTCTTCCACATTAGAGGTCTATTGTGCGATTGCCTTCACTTTTCAGAGCGAATCAAGGGGAAAATCAACAGCTTTGGATCAAGTGCGATCCATAGACCGTGGGTATGTGCAGCTGAGGTCGAATACAGTAAAGCTCGAATAGAAGCCCAATGGGCTTAATCTCGAGAAAACCCCATCTCGAATTAAAGCCCCTCCCCTTCTTTAGTTTGCAAGGTAGCCTCGAAAAGACGGCCATCTCGAAAAGGGGTCCATGGGCTTCTTTTCGAGATAATACACTGTAAATGAATTTCAAAGAAACCAAATAAATTAACAACACGCTTGGTTTATATAATAACTTAGTGATATAATGCCGGATAATACACTCCATTATACAGACTGATATTACAGTGGCTCTATTTTTTGTTTTGTAGTACAGGTAGTAATTCCCAAAATTTACAGCATTCATTTAAAAAACAAAAAACAAAAAACCCCTCTGTACTTAGCCTCGAAAAGAAGCCCATCCAAAGTTCGCAAAAAAAAAAAAAAAAAAAAAAAAGAAAAAAAGAAAA